AGTCTGAAGAAAGATCGCGAAACCTGGTGGTCCCATAGTGCCTCGGAGATGGAAACAGCCGCTCCCGTTGGTAATCATCGTAAGTTATTCCGTCTGATACAGAAAACAGGCAGCAGGAGACCTGGTGTTAGCGAGACCATACGCGACGAGAGTGGGCAGCCGATCCATAGTCTTTCCAAACGCTTGGAGCGAGACAATTTAACCAACCTGAGTTATCGCTTTCTTTTTCGGGCATTGAGCGCCCGTCTCTCTGGGCAGTCTCCTTGGATCCGCTCTCACGCGCAGAAGTCGAACGTGAGATCAGACTGTTGAAAGTGCATAAGGCCGAGGGGCAGATAAAATTCCCCCTGCCCTCTTCAAATTCGGGGGACCTGCTCTAATATATGATTTACACGAGTTACTAGTGAAACTTTGGGAGCAGGAGACTGTCCCGTCAGACTGGAACCGCTCCGTCATTGTCCTAATTTTCAAAGGAAACTCCCGTTTGGAATGCGGAAATCATAAAGGGATCAGTCTGATTTCGATTGCCTCTAAATTGCTTGCCTCTGTCGTTCTCCACAGACTGACTGCCACTCGTGAAAGCCAGATTCGTGAAGAGCAAGCCGGATTTCGTCGAGGTCGTGGCTGCATCGACCACATCTTCACATTGCGTGAAGTGTTGGAGCACCGCCATGTTTATTGGCGACCCACCGTTGTCGTGTTTCTTGACATAAAAGGTGCCTTCGATTCGTTCGATCGATGTGCCCTTTGGGACTGTCTGTTGAGGAAAGGTGTGCCTGATAAATATGTAAACATTACCAAAGCGTTGTACGCGCATAATTTGGGCAGAGTGAGGGTTCATGGCAAACTGTCGCCACCCTTCAGTATCACCAGCGGTGTGAGACAAGGTTGCCCGATGTCACCTTTCCTCTTTAACTTTACTATTGATAAAGTCATGGAAACAGCGTTCGCTGGACACGACCTAGATGGTGTGGAGCTACTTCCTGGTGAGCGACTTCTTGTCTTGGAGTATGCGGACGATATCGCCCTAATCTGTGACAGCTCCCAAACATGCGAAGCAGCACTGGACCGATTAGCACTGGCTGTCAATCGTTTTGGGCTATGTTTCGCGCCATCGAAATGCAAAGTACTTCTCCAAGATTGGCAGGGACCCAACCTTGCTCTGACACTTGGTGGTGATCTGCTGGAAGTCGTTCAGGAATTCAAGTACCTGGGCAGCTATATTAGCACCCGTGGGATTGAAGATGAGGTTACGAACCGTATAGCAAAAGCTCGAGGCGCTTTTGCCAATCTTCGCCACCTGTGGCGCAGACGCGAAATTACTCTCGCCCTGAAGGGCAGAGTTTGTAACGCAGCCGTCCGTTCAACTCTCTTATATGGTTGTGAAACCTGGTCCAGCAGGTCGACAGACATAAAGAGGCTCGTCATATTCGATCATCGCTGCCTTCGCAGCTTAGCTCATGTCTGGTGGGAGCATCGCGTGAGCAATGAGCTTGTTCGGTGTCGTGTATTTGGTGCAGGAAGAGCGAGTGAACCGCTCAGCACCAGTATATCACGCACCAGGCTCCGATGGCTGGGCCACGTGTTGCGCATGCCAGCACACCGACTTCCGCGACGTGCATTGTTTGCGCGTTGTGGGTGCGGTTGGAAGAGGGGAGGCCAAGCGATGACTTGGTCGGGAGAGATAAAAACCCTCACTTCGAAGTTGGCGTCGGTTGGTGCATCCCGACTGCGTGGCTGGGGTCCTAAGTACGGTGACACGTTTGGTTGGACACACTTGCTGATATGGCTTGGAGCCGGCCCCAATGGCGTTTGTGTTGTGAGTTCCTTTGTCCATCCCCGTTTTGCTTAGCATCCCTCTCCAATCACGATCTCACTTGTTAGGCATAATATGACTGGCTTTTTGCGGCACGATAGCCACCTGTTAGCTCTCCGGAACTATGTCCATCCGGTACTGAGGACTCAGCGGGCGTGCCACTGTTTGTTTTTCTTTTCTTGTCTTTGTATTGCGGCACAATAGCTGAGGTGTTTTCCACCTGCAGCTAACGTGTATAATGATGATGATGAGGATGAGGAGACTAACAGTCTCACAACGGAATCCTCTTCCGAGGATAGGAATAGGTCGATGGCGCTCTATCTTTGAAATCTAGCCACAAGGTCTACGAGCTATAAGCTCACAGCTCGATTGGCGTAGAGCACGAGCGTCACACATTGCGTCTGACGGTGGCAAAGCACCTTCCGATGCTCAAAGGTTTACTACCGTCCGCCTCAAGCTAGGCAGCCCCCGGCCAAATTGGTGCCAATCCACCAACTCCCACCTGCGGCTTACCATGGTCGAAAGTGTGCAACATAATGCGGTCGTAAAACACGTGTGTACAATTACAAATCTTCAAAGGCAAGCCAGCTCAGTTTATATGAACAACTATGATCCTAGCACCGAAGTGCGTTGGATCCAGCTGCCACGACTCATATCGCAAGAATAGCAATAGAGATAGTGGGGTTGAATACAAATGGAATATAAAGAAAAAGGGAAAAAGGAAAGATATGCATTAAATTAATGAGAATGGAACGAAGATTAACAACTAGATGAAAGAAACCGAATGAAGGTACGCCAATGACTGCGTGACTGTGCCGTGTCTGATACGTCGTTCAACTATTGATGTGGACCATAGAGAGGTCCTCATCCAGGAAGACGAGCTGCATCAACCTGACAAATTCTCGCAGTCAGTTTCTTCATACCTCTATGCCACGTCATGGACTGGCAACCTCGCGGTTTCGCCCAACTTGGTGCAGCCACGGTGTATAATGCACGCCGAGGAAGCCGGCCAACGGGTACACATAGGATATTGCCTGGCCAAAGTTAGCGACTAAGATGTAGTAAACACTCGAATGAGGAATCAGAAGGCTTCTTGCCAAAAACCAACTGGCGGACCTCAGCATTGATCACGAGGTGTTCGCACCATACTCCGCAAGCACCGGTGATCAAACACATCAAGGGTTTAATGTCTTCACTGCGAACTGGTCAAGTCTTTGATCCACACAGAAAGACCGGACTTACCACAGTGTTATACACTACCTTTCAATGGCAGGCTGATATACCGCTGTCTCCATAGATGGTTGGGTATCTGGAAAGCCACATCGGCCTTGCTGATACAAAAATGAACTTCTTCAGCGATGTGGCTACCAGAGGTGGCACAGATACCAAGATTAGTGAAAAGGATCACCACATCCGCTAGCTGTTTGGTGTGTCGATCCAGCCCTGCAACAGCACTTTGCACTTTGACGGTGCAAAGCACACGCGTAAGCCACTCCAGCAGTGTTCGCATAGCCGCTGCGTCAGACCCAAGAAGAGCCATGTTGTCCACATACTCCAGGTTTGTTAGCCGGTCATCTAAGAAAGAACTTCCACTCCGGCAGAGACTGGAAGAACGGAGTCACTCATTTCAACCACAAAGTTGAAAAATAAAGACATAGGACAACCCTGGCGAACCAAACTTGTCGTGGGGAATTCAGGAGACAGTTTCTGTGAAGAGCCCATGGATATGCTATTGTGTAAGCACCGTTGATCCGACGTGGGTTTCTGCGAGTCGATTTGTCTACTGAGAGTGTACAGGCGCACGCGCGTCACACCGCGGACAACCAATCAATACCCATGTGTTCTGCACCAGCAGTCCCCGCTGTGCCAGTCACGTAAAACAGAAACAAAAGAAGGAAAAAAGAAATTGAAATAAACAACACAACCGAAAGTGAACCCTGGTGATCAAAATAAGAAATGGAAAGTTGCATTTCAGGCTATGACGTGAAGGGGAAGAGTTGTAGCTGCAAATGGACGGCGTAAAGTTGGTGTTCAAAAGTCTTGACTGTCAGTGCCAATACTAGATCCTAAAGCAGTGTTCCTAGAGTCAATCACACTACGTGATAACCAGACATCAGCCCCACCCGATCGGATCGAGGCTCATGCAACTTCCTTGGATGCCCACGAAGAGTTGGCAATCGAGCCGGAAGGAAAAGGCGAAATAAGTCCGGGCCAATCTAACATGATAAGATGTAACAGGTTAAGATCAGGTCGCCCAGGTGACACCGAAATGAAATGAAATGAAATGTGTCAGCTTATACGCCGTAACGGCGCTTCGCTGCCGCGCGACCACCACCAGTCGCGCGCGGGCTGAGTATACCGCGAGGACGCCCACCCCTACGCGGAGTCGAACCGGTGACCTTATGGTTGCAAAGCAAACGTGCAGACCACTCGGCCACCGGCCGACAGTGCACGGAAAAAAGACAGACTATGCATCGGCTCAGAATGTGGCACACGTGTTACCCCACGCACCATTTGGGTGCTAATCATCAAAACCCGCTTCACTGCCATTTTTTCCAGCACTAAGTAAAGGGGCAGCTTTGGGCGCAGTACTCTAAGAGGCGGCTGAGGAAAGCCGTATAAACGTCAACAAACATCCCACCCGTAAAAATTCCAAATGGCCTGCGGAGCATCTATCACATTCTGAATCGCCTGTAAGCATCCTTTGTCAAGTTTGCGCTCGCCTTGGTGTACGAGGACACCGCGATACCTAAGGTCGGCCGGTGGCCGAGTGGTCGGCACGTTTGCTTTCCAACCATAAGGTCACCGGTTCGAATCCGCGTAGGGGTGGGCGTCCTCGCGGTATACTCAGCCCGCGCGCGACTAGTGGTGGTCGCGCGGCAGCGAAGCGTCGTTACGGCGTATAAGCTGACACATTTCATTTCATTTCATTTCGATACCTAAGTCGGTTTGCTCGGATACACGTGGTACGTCGCTGCTCCCCAAAAAGTAAGGCGTTGATAGACCACTGTTCTCAAGGCGCAAAACTGAACATTTTGAAAGATGTATGAATAGTTGCCACAAAATGGATCAATCACACAGTCTGTCGCTTCCCTCCAATCAGAAGTAAGAAGCAGTGAAGAATGGACTTCTCAAACAAACGCGTGATCGGCTCCGAAAGCTCAGCTGCAAATTAATTTAACGACTTCGGGTGAACAGAATCGGCCCCAAGGGTTTTGGTAGGATTTAGTTCCCGCAGTAGCACAACCACCTGTGTCTGTAACGGAAATATCCATCAGCGGAGTCAGACGTAACTCTCATCTCCAAATCAATACAAGACAAATCAGATTCCGTAACAAATGCCCGCGCATACTGTTCCGCAAGCACAGGCCTTAGCGTGATCTGTGTCAGTAACATCGCCGTCAGCACCAAACAAGACTGGAAAGAGTGAGTTAAGTGTAGTCTTCCACTTGATATAGGCGAAGAAGCGCTTTGGATTTAGTGAAACCGAGTCGGCCAAGTTCATTTTATAGCATAGAAGAGAGGCAAGATGTTGTGTGCAGACATTCCGTGCTTCTCGATAGCGCAGACCGATGCGTCCGCCAGCACCTGGTCCACTTGTTCATCAGTCGATGTAAGGCTGAATCAACCCATGGTGGCTTCGCGTTTCTAACATTCCGAACAGATATTGGGATATGAGAGACACTTTAAACAGGTAGGACATGTAGTAATCCCATGCAGTCCGCAAGTAATCGTGAGCACAGATGATGCCGAGTGAAGTTGCCACTTTAGCTCTGATTGCGGGGAAATGCGCTCGTCATATATTTGGACTAGGAATGTTGTAACCAGTATGGTCTTGGAAGTGAGTAAATTTGAATGATAAACAGACGTGACCGCTAGCTCCCACAGGCGGTTTATAAGTAAGTGCAGTTAAAATCTGCAGAGTTAGTGAAGATTAGATCTATGAAGGACGGGCTTGATTTTATATGAACCCAGTGGGCTGATCCACGAACTGGTGTAAGAGTACCAGCAACGTTAGAACGAGAAGAGTAGTGGTCAGTTCCCTCGCTGCTGACTGACATGAAAAGATCTGAAAGTCTATCTCCGGGAGGTTAAAATCTCCCATACTTAAGCATCCGGTAGTCGACTGACCGCGAAAGAAGTCAATGTGCCCCGTCGAAGAGCTATCAGGAGCCCTATATACTAACACAATGTTTAGCTGCTTAGAGCTGCGCACTTCAACCGAAAGGGCTTCTGTAGCCCCATTCAATTAGTGAAACGTGCACAAGTTCAAGTTCAATTGGGAATGGAACAATAAGATTATCACGTGAGTGTTCCTTCCTCAGCGGGTCGTCAAAAAAGGGTTGACAAAGGACTTCGGAATACAGAAGGACCTAAAACAAAGAGCGCATCACATCCTGTCTAACCAAACACTGCCCACGTATCCTGCCGTAGCAGTCCTTGCAGGGCCGGTTACGTGAAGCAAAAAAGGAAAAACATTAAAATCAGGAGGCAAAAATGGAAAAGGAGTTAAACAATTAGAATACTAAATTAGAATACACAATACAATCAGTAAAAAGGAACTAGAGACTGAAGATGAGTCAGTCGGGAAAAAGGAAAGGCTTGATGTTGCCACCCAAAAGTACCCAGTTGATTCCCAGACCACATGATCTGGAAGCGAATTTCTGCGCTCTATAACGGCACGACAGACGAGTCTCCGCCATAAACCAATCAGACCGCGGTTTGTGCAGCTTCAATGGGTAACCGCGGAAACTAGGTAACAGTGAAACTAAATAGCCCAGACAAGTCTGGCCGATCCTACATGTCAATGAGGCTGGACCTTACCGTAGTGCGATGGTTTGTGTGCCTCAGTGATCCATTGAGCTATACTGGGTGGTGCTTTTGCACCTTCAGAGACACTCATACCAGATTGGTCAATGGTTAGAGGCCAGACAAACAGCCTCCTGGTTCTCCAGGTTAGGGGTTGGAATGAGGGTGGCTCCTTATTCCTTAAAACGGACTCCTTGTAGCCCAATGCCAAACCCGTTGCCTTGCGGACAGGTTTTTGAATCAAAGGCTTTGGTTGAGAACCCTAATCGTTCTCCTGTCTAGGCCTGGGCAACCTGACAGTATCCTGCCCACGCAATACAATGAATCGCACTTCAAACAAATTTCTGATGCTCTGGCCACCGCAGAGGATAATCAACGGTGCCCTATCGGCTGCATCGGGCAGGGTGGATAGGGGTTTGGATGCTACTGCTCAAGCCTTCCCATCTTCTTATTCCCCTTCTTGCGCTTTTTCACCCTTATCGTCCCGTTCCAGCTTCACTTTTATCCCCCCTGTGTTCAACCCCCCAATTCTCGGCCCTCCCCCACCTTGCTTCAATAGTCGCTTGTCTTTTAGTTTCAACTCACAGGTGAACGCAGAGCGTCATTCTTGCACTGTCAACAGGCCCATGTCCAAGCAAGCGGTCCATTCCAGTTCATCGGCTTCCATTTGGAGCCCTCGATCCTCCTTCAGACTGGCATGCCTCAATGTTGGCACACTGCTTCAGATCGGTCAACAGGCAGCACTTGCCGGAACATTAGAGACCTTCTCAATCGATATCTGCTGCTTATCGGAGACCCGCCTGCAAGACCCGAGCTCAGTGCTCACTCTGCGATCCCCTTCAGGTGACACTAGCAGCACTTTCTCATTGCGCCTATCCGGTGACAATGCAGCTTCGAGCACCGGCCAAGCCGATGTTGGTATTGCCCTGAGTCCCCGGGCTGAAGCTGCTCTGGTTGATTGGATTCCAATCAGTAGCCGGATGTGTGGTCCGATTGGCTGACTCATTCAAAGCTTCGAAGTCGCGTGGGACTAACAGGTGTCTATTCGTTATCGCTGCCTATGCACAGACAAACTGTAGCGATGACTCGGTCAAGGACGACTTCTATCGCCAACTGAACGAGCTCCTTCGCCACAGAAGAAGCTCGGACAATGTAGTGCTGTCTGGGGATCTGAACGCTCAAGTTGGAAAATTATCCACAGATGAGCTGCATCTGGGCGGCCAACATGGTATAGGCTCCCGTAATGATAACGGTGAGCGGTTACTTCATTTGTGTGAGGATGCCCCCTTATTTCTTGCGAGCACTAATTTCCGACACAGCACCCACCGGAGGGTGACTTGGCGCCCACCAGCCTCGAACCAGCTATGGACGCATATCGATCACATTGCGATAAGTTACCGATGGAGAGGCTGCATCCAGAACTGTCGCTCGATTTGGAGTACAGGTGTTGACACCGATCATGCACTTGTATGTGCTGACCTGTGGATGCGTTTTGGCGCACGCCCGCGACGACGTTGTGAGCGCATTGACACCAGTCAACTAGCGAAGCCAACTGTTATGAATGCCTATCAAATTACGCTGTCATCCGAGTTGGATAAACGCTCACTGGATGCAATTGAAGCTCACTGGTCTCATATTCACCAGTCCTTACTAGCAGCAGGTAAATCCTCATGTGGTATGTCTAATCGCCAACATGGACATTGGGTCTCTTCTCGGTCTCTGGAACTTATA